ATGTAATTATAAAAATACTTTTTATTTTTTTCTAGTTCTAACAAGCCTTTTACTTGTATGTTGCATTGGTTAGTATGATCGTGCACAGCTATATTTTACTTATGAAAGATTATATATAATACATAAATGATGGGTAGTTTTACAAGTAAGAAGTTAATTTTTTTCCTTAACAAAGTAAGGTTCAATAAATATTTAGGTAAACAACATTCTTTTTGCAAAGTTAAGTATTTTCATTACAAATTAATTTACATTAATGCAACTGGAATACAATATATTTCGTGCTTAGATATTGTCGATTTTAGTTAACTTTTCAAATGGCGGTTGCCAAGTTACTTTCTAATGTTGCCAGTTACATTTTCAAATATGGAATATTCGATATGAAATTGTAAACTTGAGTTTACAAGTTGTGTACTTGAGTACTGAAGTTGTGAACTAAAGTTGCGAAGTACTAGCAAACGCGAAAGGTCTTTGTACCCTGTCGATATTTTGCAATGAATCCGTTCAGTAAGCAAAGAAAAGCTATACCAATAGAAATAAGAAATGAAATACTTGAAATGTGGTTAAATAACGAGCGTTTGACAAACATTTCGAAACAACAAACCTACCGTATAAGACTATATCAAATATAATAGATCTATGGGTAGACACTGGTTCTATTGCACCTCGCCAGGACGAACGTGATGTTCGAACCGCGCGTACAGATGACGTTATTGCATACACTGAATATCTAAAAATTAATAAACCATCTATTTACGCAAAAGAGACTTAGCAACATCTAGAAAATAACAAAGTTTGCCTTCTAGCAAACATACCTAGCAGGTCATCTATTAATAGAATTTTGAATAAAAATCTTTGTTACACTTACAAGATAATAAGTCAAATTACACGTGAGACAGAACGGCCGGAAGTTATGGAGAAGTTAGAAGCTTAAATAGCAAATATTTCATTGGTTGATTGCAACCTTATACATTTCTTTTATGAGTCGTCTGTAGTATTTACGATTGGCAACAGACCTCGAGGGCACAGTATGCAGGGTACTCCTGCATTTGAAATCCAACGATACGCTTCTAGTGCTACATTTACTCTAAATTTATTTCATAATGTTAACGGCGTATCACATTATAACACTCTTAGAGGGCCGTCAAACAGATTAGAATTGCTAAAGCTTTTCCTTGCTTACTGAACGGATTCATTGCCAAATGTCTACAGGGTACAAAGATCTTTCGCGTTTGCTAGTACTTCGCAACTTTAGTTCACAACTTCAGTACTTAAGTACACAACTTCAGTACTCAAGTACACAACTTGTCAACTCAAGTTGACAATTTCATATCGAATATTTCATATTTGGAAATATAACTGGCAACATTAGAAAGTTACTTGGCAACCGCCATTTGAAAAGTTAACTGAAGTCCACAATAACCTGACGACAGTTTGTCGATCGTAGGGCCATACTATTTATTAGTATTGATAATGTTTATTGTTGTTTATGTGTCTTTGTTTTTAGTAAATGGAAGAAAGTTAATTAATTTTAGGACGTTTTTATGTGTCTATACAGTTATATGTTTTTTAACTTTAAGATCGTCAATTTGGCCTTTCTTGTGTTAATGTGAAAATAAAGTTTGTTTTTCTTTATTTACAGCACTTGTGTTTCGGGAAGGTGTGTATGATTATGCATGTACGGCAATATAACAATGTATTAGTAAAGAATAGTTTTATTAGTAAAAAGTTATTTTTCCCTCTTAATAAGGTAAGGTTCAATAAAACATTCACATTACCAACATTCTTTTTGCAAATTTAAATATTATTTTCATTACAAATTAATTTTTATTAATGCAACTGGAATACAATGTATTTCGTGCTTAGTTAACCTTTTATTTCGTAAATGTTGAAGGTAACGCAAAAGCACCCTAATATTTCATTTTAGAGGTAAATTATATTGCCGACACTTCACGACACTATTTATTCGTGTCCCATAAATAGTGACGTAATATGAACATTCTTTGGTCGATAGTCAATAAATGATGTTCATTTCATGGAGATGGATGACATTTACTTAACTGAAGCCAAAATTATTTTCAATGTTTATTCATGTGCTAAATTATAATTTTGTTTTGTACCATGCTTTTCCTTTCAAATTTATTTTACTACATGCAGTTTTCTGTTATCCCAGTTTATCTGTCTCTACAGTTCTAAATTAAGTCACAGTAGTCATGAATATTTTTACGCTCCATTTTTTTATAATTGTAGTCAAAGAACTCAGAATACGATATGACTGATTTATGTTTGTGTTAATTATCTCTTCTGTTTATTTGTCATAAATTTTTCTGAAAATGAGATAATCATTAATTTATTATTGAGCCTGTCATGTGTAAGTGAGAAATGACTGTTTTCTTTTCAATTTCACAGGATCTTACTTTTCTAAGCTGCTTGCAAGTAAGTACTAAAAACAATACTTATGACCAATGTTTTTGGGCAATTTTGTCTAAATTAGTGAAATTGTCACCATAAAACGTATAAATGTGCATAATATTATTTTCATTGGTATTTTTCACATTGCAAATGGAAAAGAGGCTTTGTTCTAAATAGTCGCGGTTGTATAGTACGGGGTGTCATCAATATTTTTACACTCCTTGACTTATAATTGTAGTCAAAGAGCTCTAAATTGTTTTATTTTCCATTCTTACTATTACGATTCAATGCATTCTAACGCAAAATTCTGATGTCTGAATTTCGCTGTCATTATTTAAAATCAGGTTTTTACGACAATAAAATTAGAATAATTGAATAAAGCTCGTTATTTTTAAGAAAATATGTTGTCCCTAACCATATCCTTGCAATTTTTTAACGATAAGAAAATCAACTGTAAATTAGTTAATCTTTCATTCCGTAAATATTGAAATAATATTTTCTTGGAGGTCATGAGATTTACTGATGATTAATCTTCATATATAAAGCATAAGTAACAAAAATATTTCATTTCATTGCTTGAACAATAACCTTCATTGCTGTAAATGAAGTTTAGTATTATGAAAACTACGAAACAAGCTATTATTGTTTCTTTAATCCAACTATAAACGACCACAATTATTAACTTTGATAATAAAACGACAAAAGTCTGCCACATTACTATAACTTCATCATGGTAGTATATTTTATGGATATGGTTAGCCTAAAGGTGTTATCGAATAATGTGCATGTCATGAATAATCTACATGGAAGCGTTGCTTCTTAAATATGTCCAATTTCAAGTCTTTACCCAAAGTTTTTTACATAATTTTATTTCTTTTGTTATATCAGTCGTATTTTGCACCGTTTCATGTTATTTATTGTAATTTTGTTTCTTTTCCTGTGAACAATGAAATACACATAGTGCATGACCAGGCCTGCATGCATGTGGTCCAAAATCAATCTAGGTGTTTTTATACACTTGCATTTTTTCCTTATTAAATACCTTTAAACAAGGCAAAGCAACAAGTCATTATATCGTTCGACATTCTACATACATGTAATATAATCACTATATTGAAAAAAAATTACTTTTTTTATATTCACGCAACTAAAATACGATTGGTACATTAAAGTTTTATTTTGTACTCCTCTCTCAACTTGTTTACCCAGAAAAAATTCAAATACTCGAGTTTATTTTTTGCTAAGTGGTTAAAATATCACAATTTTACGTTTGCGATAACCTAAGGACAGTTTGACGATGATATTGCTAAATTGGAGACCTGGTCGTACGAGATATATGAAAACTAAAGTATGCGTACTGTAACTTTAGTTGATAATGATGTGGCTGCATGTGCCGCTGTGGATTTAGCAAGAATTTAGCGTAGATTCTTTCCATCTCGGTTATGACGCGCTATGTAAAGCCTAATGTGAATGTTCAATGTATTGGTAGTTAGTTGTTCTAAATAGGCTGCAATTGGTGTATTCTTTGGTTGGTAAGACTCTCCTTTACGAAAGATTGCTTTTTTCCAATTTTCATTTTTTTTAACACGGTGTTTCAATATCTTTAATACTCTTTCGCTATCCGGTTTTAAACGCTTTTGTTTGTAATTTTATAATGAACATTAGAGCCCAGCTTATTGAAATTACATGAATTGTTATTGCAAAAATAAGAATGTAATAAAGGATTTTTATTAATTTTATTGACGTTTCGTCGCAACACGCGACATCTTCAGAATATTGGTATAAAGTTGCAAAACAAAAATAGAATTTGCTACAGTATTTACAATGTAGAATAAATTAAGTAGTAATTGAGAGATTAACCAATCATAGGAGGGCTAGAAGAATAACAACCCAGCTCTTTGAAGGGAAAGAAATCGGACGGTCGGCAACCAGAACGGAACATAAAGTGAAGTGATAAGTGCAGGAAAGCAGACGAGCAGAGTTTAGCTAGTTGTGTTGTAACTTGAACAGCGTGTTTACCAGTAAAAAGCATGCTAAAATGCATGTTGTTTTCGGTAGTGTCGAAATGCAGCTTAAAAACCGGATTCCGAAACTCCTGAGATCTCCTGTAGTCTTCAAATTTACTTGTCAATGCGGAGCTTTGTTTGTGAGCCAAACACGGCGCTACTTTCATCCACGAATCTCAGAACATTTGGGAGTCTCGCCTTTGACGGGAAGAAATGCAAAACAGCTCCGTTGTCCAGTATCTATAAACATTGTAATGAAACAGGACATATCTCCTTTCCTGAAAATTTTTCCATAATATCCTCTTCTCATTCTACTTTAAATCTTGAACCATTAGTTCGTGAAAGCTAACTTATTTCGAATCTTCAACCCTTCTTATTTTTGTAATGGTAATTCAAATTATTGCAATAAGCTGAGTTCTAATGTCTATTATAAGATTTTATTTCACGCCTGGAAAATCTGTTGTTTTTGTTTATTCATGATGTTTGTATCAGGATAAGACAGATTGCATTGAAATTCATCCACCATTCTTCTACCTCCTCCGACGTTTTTGATTTTAGCATTTCACTTGACCTTTCATAATTCTGGTCAAAAACACAAGCTTTTCAGAAGGTAACCTTAAAAACATTAGGTTCTTTAATTCTCCGAACTCTTTTCACCGCGACAGGTGCTTTCATCTTTGATTTTTCAATCTCCATGTTTTCTCATTTAAAGTGAAACGTTCCTGACGTCCCTCAACGTCCTTTGAACTAAATATCCCTCATCCGTGTGTTTAGGAGCAGGGAAATACGCTGTTAATACAAATAAACTCAAGAGAAGGCAAACATGTTATTATGTCATTATTCAGTAGCTAAATATAAAAGTCAGTTCACCTTAACGGGCAAAGCGGTGTAGGTATTTCAAATCTTGTCTAATAGGCACAATTTTTTGATGTGCATATAATTAGAAAATTAAATTGCTTCTTGATACATTAATTTATTCCTTTCTAAATAGTCTACTTTACTTTTTAATTGAAGAATTGCTGTCTCAACCATGGAAATGTTATGATAAATCAATAATGCATCAGCAAAAGTTCAGAATGATGGAGGAATATGGGAAGAAAAATCCAAGAAAAGTTAAACTTGTAAATGGTGTAAAGGTTATTTGTTCTGAAGAGTTTTTGCTTGGTAAAGGAAGTGATGGAACTCGTGTTTACCTTGGACTCGGAAAAGATGGTTACGGAAAAGCAGTAAAACGATTGCTTCGAGATAACTGCGCGGAGTTAGCCAAACGAGAAAAAGAAATTTTGAATGAGTTGAATGCAAAGCGTTCAAATTATGTTGTGAATTATTGGTATCTTGAAGAAGAACCAGGCACAGATAATTTGTATTTGATATTAGATTTGTGTGAAGAATCGTTAGAGAGTTATGTGAAATCTTCTTCTTTGCAAGATCTTCAAAAAGTCGTTCCTAAAGTTCTTATTCAGATCTTAAATGGTCTAGTTCACCTTCACAGCGGTGAGCGTCCTATTCTTCATCGGGATTTAAGACCCTCGAACGTTCTTCGAGATGTACAAGGAAATTTTTTAATCGCTGACTTTGGTATAAGTCATATGTTATCTGATGAATCTTCGACACATTGGAGCATACAAAGAGGAGCTAAATATTGGATAGCTCCAGAGTCATATGACGCATCAGATGATACAATCAATAAAGTTCGTTACAAAAAAGAGTCTGACATTATGGTAAGTTCTTGAAGTAGAAATAGAGGCCAACCACAGGTCAATGTTGTTTTTGCATTTGAATGTTGTATTTGGTAGGGATATCATTATCACTGCCACTGATATCATTATCACTTTTAAGTATAATTTTTCTTGACCTTCATTGTACAGTCATATAGTGGCAAAATACAAATTATACTGTATAAAATATAAAAATATGTATATGTATGATAATGAATTTATTGTTGTTATTGCCTTATTGTATGTCTCTCATTTAGATTGCTCTAAAAAATTTGTGGCTACGATTCTTAATTGGAGAACATTATTCTGATTTTTTTCGAACTGAACTTGTATTTTTGCAAGTAACAAATAAATTAACTCCATTTTTTATTGAAAATAGAATGCCGGAATGGTGGCTTATTATGTTGCAACAAAGGGGAAACATCCTTTTGGAATTGAACGGCATAGACTGGACAACATTTTGAAAGGAAACCCAGTTGGCTTGGACGAAATCAAGGATGTTACGCTCAAAGACCTTTTATCGTGGATGCTACAGCTAAAACCGGAAGACAGACCATTGGCCAACGAAGCGTTAAAACACCCTTATCTACAAACCGATAAGGAGAATTTCGCTTTTCTGTGTGATGTTGAGAATGAACCAGAAATAAAGACATCATCTCCACATTCTCTTCCCTCAAATCTTCGTGAGCAGTTGAATCTTTCAATAAATTGGATGGACCGTATCGATCCTGAATTCTTTAATCATTTCAATAAAGTATCCGACTCTGCATGGTTAGGTTGTCTAAGATTTTTACGAAACGTTCGCCAGCATTGGCATGATAAACCTCGTCCACAACTGTCATCATGTGTTAAAGATGGAAACTATCAAGAGTATTTTCTTCGACTTTTTAAGGAACTGCCTTATCTAGTTCACAGAGCCAAAAGATTGAGTGACTGGAAGGCAAGACCTGATCTAGAGAAACATTTTCCAAGTAAGACACAGAAATGAGTTTTCATTTTTGATGGCCAAGCTATAAATTAGGGGTCCATGACACTATATTTGTTATTTTCACTCTCGTTCTCTTCTTCATTTACTGTACTTAATGCATGTATGTTTTTAATTCTGTATATTGCGGTTGCAAACATTTGTTAGACAGTGAACATCCTGTAAAACTTGAAGAAGGCAAGGGAAAGAAAAGCGAAGCTGTTATTGATTACCCTGATCTTAACGGTAAATAGCTATGTAACAACAAACTAATGCTGTGTACGTGTCACTTTTCTTAAATATTCTACCAAAAACCGTAATCTCTCCACTTGTATCTGGTGCATCGTTTTCTAACTTTGTGCAACTGAAAATAACGGTTCAAGCATGTGTGATAGTACTAGCAATAGTCGAAAATCTTTAGACGAGATCAACAATTTGTCAGATATCCAAAGAAAGTGAAGAGTACCTACGAATCATGGTGATTCAGAGACTTTGGCATATTTTATCGTATGGTAAAAAGCTTATTATTATGTTGTCAAACTTGTAAAGAACACATATGCAATAGTAAATATTGCGTATCCTTTGCTTTAAGGCAACAAATTCTTTCACGTCGTATGCATTAATGCTGAAATTGCGAAAAATGCTTGCTTAGAAAAAGAAGAGAGTTTTCGCTTAGAGTTATTAATCCTTTTAGCAGCTCATTTTACTTATTTTATTTTCTTTGCATTATTTATCCTAAGTGTAAATGGTCAGATCAAATGACGAATGGAAAAACAAGAACATTATCGTTTTCATTTTAAAGCTAAAATGTGCCACATCAATGAAGTCTTTTTATTGTCTGCAAACTGAAGGCGAATGAAATTTAAATTTGATTTCCATACATCATGTTTGTTATGTAAAATATACAATAAATTTTAACATGTGTAATTTAATAATAAATAGCATTTCTTCAAGTATAACAATGTATAACAATACATATAACTATATATAACAATATAATATGGATGTCATGACTTGTAACGCAATTAAGGAGTTGCTCGATCTGTGCTCAAAATCCGTTGTACTTTAGCGTTATATAATTCTTTCGTATGAGCTCCGAGCGTGAGTTCAATGTACTAGAACGCTATTTAGTTTATGTACGTCACTACAGTACACTGCAAAGGGTAAAAGATTGATATGCATAAAAAGAACAACTTATTGAATCGGGGAAATTGGTAATATTTGAATAAAATGACACTTTCATGTGAGGTTGTGATCATTTCCTAGTATTTCTTTTGTTGCAGCTTTGAAATTGTTAAAAGAAAATCTGTGTACGTTGAGGTAATGATGAAGAAGTCAAAGTTGCTGAATTTTTGTTTATTTTGGCTTAGTTGTGTTGCATTTTTTTTTGAGACTAAAGATCGTATGTTTTAAGCCACAAGCTTGCATTTATGAATTTCAGTCTTTTAAATACTTCGCCAGATCTGTCTCTTTCAGTCATTTGTTACTTGTTAGGTCAAGATTCCACATTTTCAGTTAATTTCCATTGATTCTATTATTGTAGTGTGTATCATTGGTGTGTATGGAACTCAAAGTATGAATACTGCCGAGGGACTCTACCATGTTTCGTTATTTTAATTGAAACATCCATATTTCTCATGCCTTGCTTTACAAAAGACAATTTTCGCAATTATTTGTGAGTTATCAGTTATCTAATGATAAGCTTTTCGTCTTGAGAGAAGAATTTTTATCAGATTATTTTTATTTTGATGGCTATTTAAACTACAAATTAATCTCATAATTATGTCAACAACAACTCGCTCGTAATGCAACTCGTCTTTGCTTGTTGTCAATTAAATTTTTTCTTAATTTTGATCGTTAAGCTTTACAAAAGAAAATGGCTCAGGAGTCGGGAAGCTATGTACTTTCGGAAGCTTCCAATTTTTAGATTGTGAGCATTTTATAAGATTTGATAAAATATTAAATACTTGATTTATACAGATGTGCTAACTTTTCAATGAGGGTGACATGATGCAATTAAACTAAACAAAAAAAAAATCGAATTAAATATCGAAAAATTTATCACACCAGTTTAACTATTGTGAATTGCCACATAGTTAGCATGGCACACACCCAACTTTTCGAAGCCCTTGCGGTTGAATGTATTGTTTTACATGCAAGTGTTTATTATATATTTCTGGGCTTGTTTTCTTGTTGTACCGACAGAAAATCCCAGAAGAAAAGAGGTGTCTGCTCAAAATATCAAGGTGTATGTAATAACCAGACCTAGTCAATGACATGAGCCTGAGAGTATTTTCCAAACTTGTTGTTGTGAATTGATATAATGCCTTTGTTCATGTTTTGTACTCCAACTTTCTAGACTAAGTTATTGGTTGAAAGAACGATTGTTGGCAATGTATTCAAGGGCTTCTCAGTCAATGTTATGCTTTTAAACATAAAAATATAACAACCATCGCCAGCAAGACTTCACTAAAGTGCATCCGTTATCAAAGAAAGGGTTGTCTTATTAGGATGTGGATATTATGTACATTGTCATTGCTAAGAAGGAAGATTTTCAGCATTTTAGTATAAATCGTATTGTATGATGCAAATGACAAGCTTACAAAATTCGAACAGCTAGCCCACTGCAGGGCGTTCGTAGCGAGTAGAATGAGACTTATTTATTAAACTCAGGATTTGAACGAAGTTGTTTTCCAGAATGCAGTCTACAATTAAAGTTTTAGCAAGTTTGTAGATTCCGTGGTTTCTAGAAATCGAGTAAAACAGAACATCTCTCCTTGTATCTAGTGCATGGTGTTTCATCTGTCGTTATACTTTATAACTGTTTGGGACTCCTACAATTCATTGACTTGTTATCAATGAGGATCATGGGATTGAGACGAAAATCTTCACGACCATAAATAAAGGTAAGTTAGGTAAGCCAGCTGGTAAAGGCCGTTGATTCTTCAGTGGTCTGGGGACAAGTAAGATGATTACATGAATCTTGATTTTTTTTAAATGGAAACATCGCTTTTAAATGTTGGTTAAATGTTAGCAATAATATAAATAAATATTTACGAAATGAACTTAAATGAAAATAGTTTTATAACCATTAAGCTAGTTAAGTAAAGGAGAAATACATTTTTATAGGTTTTATTATCTGTGGATTTTACAATGATTCACAGTTTGTTTATCATCAACCATTCAGGGTGAGTCGGTAGTGACAGTATGTATTGGTTTTATATTTGTTTGCTTACAAAGCTCTTCTGTTGGTTTTGTACGTATCAGCTTGTGATTATTGTGAGAAGTACTTTACAATTATTTGAATGAGGTAAAATGAGATTAGTTTCAGTAAGATATTAAAGGAAAGCTTGAACAATGTCAGAAGGCAGAAGCCAGTGAAGGTAGATTATGAGAAGTATCATGTGACAGGATTAATACCCAGAAAAAATAAAGAATGTCATAAAAAGCGTGAGATATTACCTGATATCTGTAATTTTAATAGTATTGAAGTCAGTTAGATGATGCCATTTTGATGATTTCAGCTTCCTCAATTTTTTTGTTATCACAACTTTATACCAAATGGGTGACTGTGTGTTTGTCACTAGGTCATATGATGTTTTTCATGTTTATTTAGGGATATATTTCTGGAAAAACATTGGAGAAGTGTTTTGGGATGCTCTGTTTGTGATTATTTCTTCGAAGCTCAAGGAAAGGTAAATGAATTTATGTGTAAATTGTTGTTTGTGCTTGTTTGGTTGAGAAGTTTTAAGGTACTTTCATGAACGGTTTTCATGTTATATTTGTATGACAAAAATGCTCCTAAACAAATTAAATATCATCTTTTATGTTCAGGCTACTTCTCCAGAAGACATTCCTCCTGTACAGGATTCAGTTATCTCATCAGTATGTTTCGCCATGATCTCTTCTTTGTTTCTGTTGTTGAAAATGAAGATTTGTGTTTATATTAAGGTTAGTTAATGTTTTATTAATGTTCATTTTGAATCAATTGCCTCTAATCCAATCAAGAGATTGATTGCTAGTTTTAATTTAAAAAGTATGCATTACATTGCAAAGAAGTGTTATCACTCAACAAAGGACATTGCATTAGGCATTCCTAGTGGTAGATAAAAATAATTTAGCCTTCATATCATCAACATGTGGTGAACACTTTCATGATTATTATTATTGATGAATTGAAAACATTCCTTTCCAGTTCCACCTTTGTTTGTGGTTGAATTTCTTCATCGAGTCGTTGACTTGATCAAAGAATATTTCTCTGACTGTACTGAAACAATCATTAAAGAAAATTGTGTCATTGTATATGAGGTTTGAGATAAGTATATTTTGTAGAGAATCCAGCTGTTTGATAGATGAATTTCAATTTTTTTTCTGTTGTGTGTGATGTAAAATATGATGTTATACCTTTATATTCTTCAGTTATTGGAAGAGATGTTGGATAATGGATTCCCTCTTGCTGCAGAGTCAAATGTACTTAAAGAGTTGATAAGACCTCCTAGTATAGTTAGAAATGTTGTTAATAAAGTGACTGGAGATAGCAAGTAAGAACCTTCCTTATGGTAAACATACAAGCCATGTTTTTATCTAGTGATTTATTTGTTGTTCATATAAGGATCAGATATAAATATGAAGCAAATCCGTAAAACCACTAAACATTTCTATATTTGCATTGTTATTTATATGCAACTTACTACAATATTTAGTTAAATTTGTTTTAGTTTACACGTTTATGATCATTCTACATATTATTTAAGTTAAATATTTCATATTTTCTTTGTGTTAGCAGTCATCTCCCAACTGGTCAATTGTGCAATGTTCCATGGAGGAGAACTGGTGTAAAATATGCAAATAATGAGGTATGTAGCTATATTCACATTGTTCCATTAAGAAATTTGAAAGAAAATCCGTTTTTATGCTTTGTTTTAGTTGTAATGTGATGAGTGAACTTTTTTCTTTTGTTAATTAGTTGTAATAAATATTGCTAATTAGTTGTTAGTTGTAATTATTCATAATTACTTCCAATTAATTCTAATTATCACAAATTAGTCCTAAGTATTTCTAATTAATTCTATTCATGTTATAGATTTATTTTGATGTAGCCGAAAGCATTGATGCCATCATTGATAAACAGGTAACAACATTATAATACTGTGGATTTCTTGTTCCCTTTGTGGAAGATGTATGACAAAAATATGTTTGTTGTTTTTGTTTGATGTTAAATTAAAACTAAGGACATGTACAAACTGAAAACTTATGGCATGTTTAAATTCCTAAAATTTTCTGTTTTGTGTTGGGCTCCACCATATTTTCAGAAATACAAGGAACTGTAAGTGCCTTTTTTTTATACTTTGTTATATGTACTCTAGTACAACATTTTAAAGATTTTTTCCCCTTTTTTCAACTTTGTTCTTTCAGATTGACTGCAACTGTAAATTATCTGGCATGCCTGGTATATTTATGATACTTTGTTATATCCCTAGCAGTGTGCGAATTAGTTCAGAAAAAACGATGTGCAATTTTTTTGACAAAAGTGTTTCTTTAAAGGCATAAAGCGATATTACGTTAATTATTATATAGCGCTAATTGCCAAATTAATATTTTTAAACGTGAACAAATTCATATGATTTACGACAGTGTTTTTCGTTAAAACCGCTGATTTTTGCACATCGTTTAAAAAAGTGATGTGAAATTGTTTTCATTTTAGCTAAAACGATGTGCAAATTGCACATTGCACATCGTTAATTCGCACACTGGTCCCTAGATTAAAATTGAATTTATCTGTAGATTAAAGATTTTTATTAATTATAGATCTCAACATGTGTTTTACAAATCCTCATATCCTTGAAGATGTCAGTTTTCATCCTTGTCTTCGCTTCAGAAGATGGGAGGTACGTAAGTGTGAATGTTGAATATGGATTGTCTCTGATTGAAGTCAACACAAATTATTCTTAATATGACTAATAACAATTGTCTTTTTACATTGAACACTTTTCTTTCAATCTTGCACTAAAACTGCATTTGAACGCGACTACTTCAAATGTCTGTGTATTTTAGTCTGAACGAATTTTGTCATTTGTCCCCCCGGATGATCGTTTTCGTTTAATATCATATAACATGGCAACCGGGTGGGTGTTTTAGCAGTTATATTTTCATGATGAAATTGTCTATTTTGATGATATTTTTTGTTTTTTGTTTAGAGTAAATATGCTACCATTGTTTGCAAAGCCTTGTGTCTTGTTTCAAGAGGTTTATCAACTGTTGAAATTATTTTAAAATATTTTTTATTGATTGAAATAAATTAAAGTGTTTGATTTTTCTACATTCGTCTTTTTCTTGGTTGTTTTAGGGCGGAAGTGGAAGATTTGAATTGTCGATAAGTTCAAAACCAGTTATGGGTAAAAATGTATGTATTTATAATCATGTCAATTTATTAAACTGCTGTTGCATCTTCTTGCATTTATAAACTTAAAGATATAACCTAAACTAGTCCATTTTTTTCATACGTATTATCTCAAAGCATTTTGTATAAAACTAACTACATCGTCCTAACGTAATCATACCAAGTCAAATATTGTATACATTAACTTTTTCAAAGTCTTTTCACTCAATGTTTCCATATCTTATTTAGATCGAGAATGTCGTGACTGTTCCATTTCCTAAACAAGTTCTCAACCTTAACTTGACTACAAACGGTAAAAACACTCATAAAATATTAAACATTACAGTCTGATGTTTCATTGCTCTTCATTGACGTTTCCCAATAACATTTATGACTTGTGTTCCATGTTTTCATTTGGTACCTATTCATTTGATCCAATCAAAAAAGAGCTTTCATGGGAGGTAGGTTCATGAGGAAATTGTCACGATCACGTGGTTATGTAAATCTAACGTTACGTTAAACAATTTTAGATCGGTAGAATACAATCTCAGACATCGTCACCTAACATCAAAGGAAATGTAAGTAAAACTTGTTTTTTTTTTAATTTTTGCCCGTCTCAGTTGATTTACAGACGTCTTGCCATGTTTTTCAAGAAAATATTTTCAAACTTTTTGCATGCAGAGCAAGATTTCCCTTCACAACATTTTTTGCTCACGAAGTAAAGTAAGGTCGATCCTTCCGGTAACCATTCCTTGGTCACAAAGTAAGGTCGATCTTTACAGGTCGCTATCACTGTAGTTATATTCTTAAATTGTATTCTCTTTTCTGATAATTGGTACTATCCCTCTTCCACTTTGGTATTCACCTTTAAAGATCTGATTTCCTACCATAGTTAAACAACGTGGTGATGTGAGAATCGCTCTGATCTTTTTATGAAACTGCTCTCGTTTCATTTCGTCTTATGTTACTTGTCGTCAAATTCTTGCTGTGTGTTGGTTTTCTGTAGTTTACTGCTTCTTATCATAATCTTTGTTTATTTTCTTGGTTTTTTATGAAAAGAATTAATGCATATCTCCATAATCTTTTAATTTCTTTCTTTTTGTCTAATTTCCAATGCTTATACTTCAGATATCTTTAAGCGATGTTCCATCTTCGTCAGAAACACCAACTGGATTCGTAAGTGGTTTTTTACTGAGTAACGCATATAAAACCAGTTATAATTGGATGATATACTAAAATAATTCCCAAACCAAACGTTCTCTATGATACAAAGTTAACATAACTTCCCTCAGACATGATTTATTTATCAATTCTCCTTAAATCATAAACATGCAACAGCCTGCAACAGTATCATCATAAATTTCTAGAAATCTGTCTCCCTTTCGCCTTTATTCATCGGTAGCATTCTTTTCTTTAGTTAAATTTCAAAATATATTCATTTGCGGCTTTGGGATTGAAAGTCGGTAGACTGGATGTACATGGAGAGGTAGGGACAGTTTGCATGGTTTGTTGTGTATGTAGGGGTACACTTTGCATGGTTTGTTGTTCACATAAGGGTACACTTTGCATGGTTTGATGTGTATGTAGGGGTACACTTTGCATGGTTTGATGTGTATGTAGGTGTACACTTTGCTTGATTTGATGTACACATAAGGGTACTTATTGCATGGTTTGTAGTCTATGTAGGGGTACACTTTGCATGGTTTCATGTACACATAAGGGTACACTTTGCATGGTTTGTTGTGTATGTAGGGGTACACTTTGCATGGTTTGATGTGTATGTACGTGTACACTTTGCTTGATTTGATGTACACATAAGGGTACTTATTGCATGGTTTGTTGTGTATGTAGGGGTACACTTTGCGTGGTTTGTTGTACAAATTGGTGTTCATTTTAATCTTGAACAGATGACTTGAGTCCAACTAATGTTTTATGGTTTCTGATGTAATTTAGAACTACAAGCTATGAAAGGAGTCAAGACACAACAGCTGGACGGTATAAGATAACATAAAATTTTGTTTAATAAAAGCACAACACAACATTTACGCATGGTTAACAATTTGCGAATCTCCTTCCTAATCCTTCGACATCACAAATTTTGATTAGCTTTCGAAAAGGTAATTCAAGTTGTTGTGTTTTTTTCAACATGTATGCATGTTTGACAAAAAAAATGTATTGTCTGCTGGGACTGCAGTGGCCATTGAACTTTACCATGGAATAAAAAAGCAAAGTTGTGAATGCAATCTTCAACGATGTTGAACGATAAAAATACGTCAACCCACCAATACTGTACACGCAAAAAAGTTATGTTATATTGCAGCACGTTATATTCAGAGAAAAATTTCACTTGGAGCAACTGTACAGTCACTGTGAGTGCAGTGTGCAATGTTAAAAAGGGAACCATTCTAAATGTGAAGGGAGGAAAAATCTGACTTGTTCAAGTTATTAGTAGTTTTTAGTACAAAATGGGAATCAAGCTTTAGAGTTTGTTTCCACTAGCTGAAAATTTTGTACATTTTGCCAAAAAATTTAGCATGGTTTGGACTCTTGTTATTTTTCTAGTGTTACATGGCTGCTTTAAGCATATGGAGTTGCTGGTCAGAACAAGAAGTTGGCATTCCACTATTCAACGTGGCTTCAATTCTTTCCGTTTTTCTGGTGTTACTTGGATACTTAAAGCGTATGGATTTCCTAAACGTATGTAAAGTTTTTATTCTCGTTTATGATACATAGCGTTCCCAAGTCGCAATTGGGTATTGTTTCTAAGTTTGTAAGAGATTTTTCGATCAAAGTTTTATCTGTTGTCAACATTTCTAATTATGTTCTTCCTGAAAATGAATTTCTGTCTGCGGAAACTGATCATTCAGTTTATCAACTTGTTGTTTCATTCACAAAAAATGCCAAACGATCATACGAGGCAGCTGCATGGCAGTTTTGAATATCATATGATTTTTACAATGTTTTATTGAATTTTTAATTTCAGGGAATTTGATGGGTAGTCTTGACGGTCATTATGGATTTGCCTACAAACATTGGCTAATAGATCCTGCAATAGAGATTTTATCACGTTTGAGAGGAAGAGAGGTTTTTAAGCAAGTAACTGTAAAAGATCCTATGTCACTATTCATTTCCTATAAAAACCAACTGCTATGTTTAAAGTACTTAGCATGTATTTTTTCTTTTTCTAAATACCATTGTTAGAAAAAACTGTTAGATATGTTTGAATTTGATCTATGAAATATATAGTCTGAAGAGATTTTTCATTTGTCTTACCGTTGGTTAGTCTATTTCGTTTGATTTGTTACAATACTGTTCAAAATTTCATTTTTATGAACTAAAAATATCTAATAGAAAACGAAGTGCCTGTACATATCATCTGTACATTTCATCACCTTGATGAATGATGCAAAATTTAACATGACGTCGTTCATAATATTTTGTTGGTTGTACATACCATAAAAATCTTGATATCGTACACACATAAGAATGTAGAAGCTCTCTGCTTTGCTTGCAGCAATTATTTGTAAACGTTTTTTTTTATTGCAGCAAGAGTTGGAATTTCTGGTTAATCTAATGTAATAAAACTTTTATAAACTAAATAACAAATAGTAAAATTGATAGAAAAGTTTACAAAGTTAGTCAGAATTGCTGCAGTACATAACACACCTTCCTTGCTCTTCTAACAACAGTGAAATTATTGAAATAGCATAATATTTGAAAGCATTTATTCGTTCTAAAAATTAGGAACTGAGCACTCTAGCTACATGGCGTTAAAGTAACAAAAAATACAGCGTCTTCAATATGTTGAAAGTATGTTATAACTTATAACGAGCAAATGATTCTTACTGTTAAAATGTATGAGAAAATTTTCTTGTCTGTTTTATGTTGCTGCGTTCTAAACAAAGTTTGAAAACATCTCATGTTAAGCTTTTTTGCATCGGGATTCTAGTTTTTTCTATTCCGAATATAATACTTGTAAATTTTCCATATATTTATTCACTCTACGCAGAGCGCTGAGATAACACTCAAAAAAATCTTTTTATTAGTGTACTTCCTGCTGTGATCTTTTAAAATAGATGATATTGCAAAACAGGTATTCGACACAGAATCCAGAGCAAAGTAATTTATGATCCCATGTATATGATCAGTCAATTTTTAGGCTTATTTATGTCTTATCGTATGGAAGTTTCATCGTAGTTAATGTTGGTGCACCAAAGTTATCAATTATATTTTTATGTTATTTAGAAGCAAATCATGACGACAACTTCCATAAACTTCTAGACAAAAGTAAGAATATTAAAGCTGACGTTCACGAGGCTCTCCAAAGGTAATTTTTCTTTCATGGGATATCGATTATGTATGTTGACCTGTGCATGTCGGAACATTAAGAAAAATAGTTTTTAGACAATATATAGTTATCGTTTCTTGGTCGTGGCTTAGTGGGAAGTATGGAATAGCTTGCCCAAACAAGAAGATGCCGTTTCCTCATTTGTATGTCACAGTTGATTTTGAGAAAGAAAATTCGGAGGATGCTATCAAAAATGAGATCGATGAAAAGTTAAAATGGAAAGCATCGAAATACATCGAATTACGATCTAAACCATTGAAAGAAGCAAAGTTTCGAATGCTGTCTAAAATTATAGCGGAAAGAACTGAGGGTAGTTTTGGAACATTGACAATGTTTTGCCTTAAGAATGATATGTACTATGCCTTGAACTGTGCTCATGCAGGTGTTGTCAATAATTTGGATAACCGTCAACAAGACTTTTGTGGCGGAGTCCAATTTATGGAAATCCAAGAATCTCTAAATGCCACAGTTAACGAAGAATGCATGGAATACTTTTACAAAGGACAACCAATTGTCCGTGTTCCGGATCAAACGAGAGTGGTGTCTAATAAAGAAGTCGATATTATGTACATCATCATTGGTAGGGAGGAAGATTTTCAGGAGCTTGCTGTAAATAATCAGATGACTCTCAATTTAGATTTGGATATGCAGTGCCATATAGGCCCTCACCACCTGCATTGCATGTGAAACATCCAACTCCAATGTTCTCAAAAGACATCTGAATCGACTACACATCAATCCAAATGCATTTTCGACAATTCTTCGTGCTCGTGAAAGTCTATAGTTAAAAACTTTCTCATCACCTATTGCAGTCTGGTGTGGATATGGTTTCATTAGATTTTCATTCAAAGCAAATGCCTCATCTCCAAGCAGAAAGTAAGGTATAGGCAATAATGTATCTCTTAGTTCTTCAGCTTGTGGGAAATAGCATGTCTTGCATATGTTTTTAAGGTGACTGTCTTTAAAAATTCCTCCATCTGACTGGTTGCCGGGGGGTCCAAGATCAAATGAGATGAATTTAGCAATTGCATCTGCAATAGCCAAGAGGACTATGCTAAAATGTTTTTATAGTTAAAGTACTCAGACGCTGAGTTTGGAGGTGCACACAAGTTGATATGTTTACCATCAATGTTGCCAACTGCATGGGGAAAGTGCCATTTGCATATAAATTCATCAGCAATGTGTAACCATTGTTGCTTTGTTGTGGGTGGCTTTAAATATTCTTCCTTCAGTACATTATACAAAGCTTCACAAACCTCAGGTACAATTTTTGAAATAGATGAAACTGATATTCTGAAACTGTACATCAAATCTTTGTATGAGTATCCTGATGCTAAGAACTTTAATGTTACGCACAAGCGATCATGAGCAGATATAGCATCTCTCATAGTGGTGTTTTTCTTTGCAATGAATGGTGTTAACTTTTCACATAGCTCATCAAACAAAATGGAATCCATCCTTAAAAGTAGTAAAGATTATAATTTGTAAATAAAAGTAAAGAAAAGAAAATTTCATTATTAAAAAAAGAACGTAAAATTTGAATTGATTGTACAATCCACTGACTAGCTTAATTTTGAAGAGTGCATGAATAAAAAGACTATCACATTTCTTAACTTACCGAAACAAATTTCTAAATACATCATGGTCAGTCACTCGGATCTCTTGAATTAAATTTTGTGCTAACCCTTGTGCGTATCGGCGCTGCGCAGTTTTCCACGGTTTTACCCACCATCGTCGTGACTTTCGTTTTTTTTCACTTCGTGCACCATTAGAGATGTTATAATAGCTACTGCCAGTGAACTCGACATTTGAATAACTGGAATGATAACCGAAGCCAAAAATTGAAGCCAAAAAAATATTTGTCGTCATCATTCGTCATCACACGTCAGGCTCTAGTCTCTCGCGTGTTCATTTTATTTTTTTTAAATCATTTGTCCCTTGGTAATGGTTGAGTTCGGATCTTGATCAGAGCGTAAAAATAACGAAATTTTTGAAAGGAAAAGGTTCACGGAAAGTGAATCAAAGTGATAAATCGAGAAGCAAGATGAGGTGAACTTAGTCGATCTGCTCTATTGCGGTTTTCCTTTAAAACATATCAAAGTCTTTAAGGATATTCAATTATTGATATCGAGATGACAACCATTTAGTATTTCAAGTTTCAAGCACTATCAAAATCGATGAAAAATACAATCGCTCTGTAAAAAGTAAAAATGCGAGTTATAGACTCGATATTTGTTATGAAACTGGATATTCAAGGTTCTTTTTTATTCGGAAAAACAGATCTTTAAATCCACTTAAATGACAAAAAAGACAAACACTGTCTTTTTTGTTTTCCGTTTGAAAGTTTACCTTCCGACGAAAGAAAAATTTATGCTTGAATATTTTTTCGTCATATTTTCTATTGTATTGTCTTTTTAGCAAACAGTGTAATTTTCAGTTGGCTTTTCCTCGTTACAAGTTGTAAGTTAAAACAAACTCACTGTAGTAAAGTTTCAGCTGTAAAAATAACCTTTTGCGAAGAGTTGGCCTCGTGTGTTGTTTGTAGTGATGTTGTTTATAGTGATGTTGTTTATATGTTTATGCTTTTGCAATTTGTATTCAAATTTATATTGGCCGTGTATGTTTGGCACTCAGGGGAATGAAACTGACGTACAAACCGCGTGAATATTCGACTTTGAAGGACTGGAACTGACGTACAAACCGCGCAAGAGACTAGGACTTTGGCTTCAATTTTATATCTATAAAATGTATTGTCGTTATCATTCCAGATATATATATATATATGGAGTTCACTGGCTACTGCTTGAAGTTTTTCGGCCTTGGTCAGCGCCATTTTACACAAACAGTGCATTAAAAGTACGTCGTAAAATGAAGTATGAACATGTAACTGTTCATTATTACAATGGGCGCAATATATCAATCGCCATGCGAACAGATATATTTACATATATTTTGTGTCGTTTACACGGTCAAATATATTTGTCGCATAAAAATTGTCATATTAAAATTAATATCCATGACTAATGCTTGAGGTTAGTAAGGAGTCGCGAAAGGTCTTAAATATTCGAAAATCCATGTTTGTAAACGTTATCCGCCATACATTTCTATAGTAATTTGTATCTCGCCGTGGTACCCGGAAGTGCATTTTGCATATATAATTAGGCTTCACTTTTGCTTCCTATATAAGCTATATCCAGTCTATTATCAGATCAGTGATTTACCTGCAAACGTTTGTTCATAAATCCCGACACTGGCTAAGTTACATCATATGGCAGGAAGACGCTTTACAACGAAGACAAATTTAAAAAGTAAGTTTTATCAATAAATATCGACTTAAGAAGAATTATAGGATATACAAAATACTCTAGTTTAACTTTGGAGACATAGTAAAGATATGAAATGCTCATGGTTTAGAATAAGTCTTTCTTATTTCCTCCGCCACGTGTTTATTCGTTTTTTAGTTCGATATGATACATGAACAATTTTATTCATATGGCTTTGAATTGGTCATTGGAAATGTATTGCATTCCCATAATTTTCTTGAGACGAACATCGTCCATCAAAAAGGGAATTTTCACAACTTTAAACCGCCATAAAAATGGAATAATTTGATCAAATCAAAAACTTTTTTACTGATACGCTAGAAATCGCACTTAAATGTAATATCGCCAATAAAATATATGGACCGTAGATGTAAAATTTGCTTATGTAGCACATGAAAATCGTAAAATCACATGTAAGGCACTGTCAAACATGAATAGCCAGGCGTTGTGTATAGGATGATGTCGTTGTCTGTACAAACACGAAAGATGCAATTATTTGTTAAATGATATAAATTATTTGAATGAATCCAAACAATTCATTTTATTTAAAGCTGTAAAACTACATGTGTGGTGTCTCAAACTTGATGAGTATTGTATAGGGCCATTTGTGCTAAAGACGAGGGACATAAATAACCAATTAAAGAAGTCGGGGCTGTTTAAATAAGTCCACTTTTAAAAGTGTTTATTTAAACTTTTTTTTCACTTTTTTTGGTTACATATGGTTTCGAATGAATTGGTTACATACAAACCTATTGTGAGAAAATGAGACAACATTATTCATTATCAAGAATTGGTTTACTAGTTCAATGCATTATCTCTATGGGTTGGTAAATATGCAAAAGTGCATAAAGTTGCAATTTGTTTGTGATTATTTATTTGAAGCTCAAGGAAAAGTGAATGAATTTATATGTAAATTGATGGTGATTGATATGAAGGTATCAAGCACTTGTGATATGTTGAAAATGAAGACTTATTTAGTTGAGAAATTTTAAGTATTTATTATGTGCTATTATTTTGTTTACCAGTAATTATATCTAACTTTATTAAATCAAGTATTTGCTTATTTAATTTCATGCCCATTTTCCTGAAAACATTCCTCTGTTGTGAAAAAATACTTTGGAAAAATTTGCAACCTTGCTGGCCAGAGTCGGCCAAAGATCGTATTTTCATGTAAAGGTGCACCTGATTTTTGTATTATTGAAAAGAGAATTCCTTACATAAGCTCACCTAAAGCTATTTCTTACTAATAGTTTTCATTAACACATTATTTTGTTATGCAATCAAAAAACACCTGTACTATCTGCAATTGGGCTCCGAAAAAGTATATAATTGTTGGATTCCATTATTATTATGCTAAATTCATGCGTATTTTTCATAATTTGGATACAGTCACTGAATAAAAATGTATCTGCAATGAGTATTTTTAATGTTTGTTTACAATTGCTCATTACTGTCTATCTAGTTTGCACTAATATTGAGCTGTACAATTTTCTGGGAGAGGTCTCACTGGTCTGTTTGCAACATTGAAGGTGAGTTATTTTATTTGTCCGAGAAATTAGGCTATACAAAACAAGAGAGTGGCAGATCTCATGTCTGTGATGACACTCTATGCACTGCCTTTTTATCATATTTCTTATTTACAAAAAGTTTAAACCTTTTTTCAACCCCCCACAAATAATGACAATTCTGTTGTTAGTATCAGGAGTTCAAAGTATCATGACAAAACAAGTTGTCAATCAATGAATTCAATGTTTCAAGATAGTAATATTGTTTAAACAGAATTTAAATATCAGGTCTTGAAGCATAGTTAAATGGGATCTAACATAACTCATATTTCATCGCAATTGCCGGATGTTCTCATAACAATTTTGAACAGTTAAATTTATGCCAACTAGAGAGTTCTTTTCTTGTGTTAAAGTGACTGCAACTCCACTTGTTTCAATCTTTTTGCGTCTCCTGTTTTACAGGCTTCCCACATGTACGCAAAGCGTACCTATTTTTGTTAATGCATTTTGTCAAATTCACAGAATGTCCGAAGTTTTTTCATGAGCAGTTGCAAGGTCAACAAAATGTTGACAGAAACGATAAAGTAAGGATTTTTTCTTGCTGCCCAAGCCATCATCCAGTATGATGCAAAGAAAATTCCAGTTGAATAATTTAAGAAACAGTCCATTCATAAACAATTTGTGTTTTGCTATAGGTAGATTTACGCAAGATTTATTGGAATTAATGTTTATTTGTAATAACTGTTTATTTGTAGACGATACTTTTTTCAAACACATTTCAACTTTACGATTGTGAGCATACTGAAATGCAGTCATTTACGAAATCTGCTTAGAGAAATCTCCATAAAGCATATTTTTCCAGCTATGATCTTTTGAATTTGAAATGCTACATTGTAAAAGAAATATTTATTTCTCTCAAGGTCACGAGCTGCAGAAGAAGGCATTCGTGCTTTCAGACGGAAGCAAAAACAGTGAAGAAGTGGAGGTTGTTGAAACTTTCAAAGGTGAGAGAATTTTTACAAACATAGTTGTGACATGCATTTGTGAATTCTTTCAATACCCTAATAACCATTTTAAGAACATTTCATACGTCAGGCGTTTGATTCAATCGCCAATAGTTTGTATTGGGTTTTTCTATAAGATAGAAAGTCAGTCTCTTGGCGATTAAATCGAACTTCCAATGCCTAAATGAAAAACTCTTAACATTTTGTTATTACCTTTATACAAAACAAAAGACTTCACAAATTCAATTAAGTTTTTTTGAGCGTAACAGTCTTTAATTCCATGTACAAATCCCCAATTTCTGTTTTTAACACATATCTTTCAGTTTCTTATTAGTTACAGTTAACAAAAAATAATTTTTAACATTTACCAGGAAAAATTCGATTAGAATGATAATAGGAAAATAAAAATAGACAAATTCTCGGTATTGCTAGTATGGAATGAACAAAGATCTTTTGTTATTTTAAATAGTTGCATCTTAAATAGTTATGCAATGAAGTGTGTCATTGACACGCGTAATATCATTTACCATTTGAACATTTACCAGGAAGAATTCGATTAGAATGATAATAGGAAAGTAAAAATAGACAAATTTTCGGTATCGCTTGTATCGAATGAACAAAGATCTTTTTCTTGTTATTTTAAATAGTTGCATCTTAAATAGTTATGCAATGAAGTGTGTCATTGACACGCGTAATATTTACCATTTGAACATTTACCAGGAAAAATTCGATTAGAATGATAATAGGAAAATAAAAATAGACAAATTCTCGGTATCGCCAGTGGCGTAGCTAGGAAAAATAGTCACTCCCGCCAATCCATCTCTCGCCAGAGGCGCGACCCCACTAGGGGGGTCCAGGGGCATGCTCCCCCGGAAAATTTTGAAATCCAGAGCCTTGGAAACAGCATTTCCTGCGATTTCGAGGGCGAATTATTTGTTGTACAATAATTTATAAAACCCATTTTGTTAGCTGCATTCTTAATGTGGCAATCGTTGAAACTGCAACTAGTTAAAAGGTACTAAAGGTGGCTCAGAGAAACGTTACGCAGGAGACAATTGTCCCCTAAAACATAATTTACTCATCACTGCCCTGCATAAACAGAAGAAATTTGTATTAGCACAAAAATAATATAGTATACGACACTTCTAAAGTGCATAGAGAGATTTTTCTTAGCATTCTACTTGTTAGTTTAAACTTGTTTAGATTGGGGCAAGTAGACAGGGATGGCTTTATTCTTTAAAGTTATGCTTAATTTTCTCAATGCAGTACCATGTATTATACGAACAAATATCAAAACACATACTATACTCATCATTTATAAAGAAAGGCCAGCCTCCTGGGTTTTTCTACAAATTTTTCAACCACCTCGTTATGCAACACCTCTGATTCCTCTTTCTTTTCAATGATATCTTTGTGAATAGATATTCTACACAAAGAGCTAAGCCGACCTTGACCCATTCTATTTCTTAAATAGCTTTTTACCCTTTTTAAGCAAGAAAACGACCTCTCTACTGAAGCACTTGCCACTGCCAACACACCATTCAATTTTAACAAATTTACCACTTGACCTAAACTCGACTGGAGATTAAATTTGAAGATGTATTTAAGAACCTCATTACTGCACTCTTTGTGAAAGTCCTTGTCGTTGTAAATGAAGGAAAGTTGACTCTCCAAAGTTTGGATGTCAAAAAGAGGACTATACTTATCTTTAAGAAGATTGATCTTCTCCTGTGGAACTATGCCCTTCCATGTAGTAAATAGTTTAGGATTTACAAGGTCTAAAAACTCGAACTGATTAATATCTTGAAATCGTTCACTTAACATGCCTTTAATGGAATCAATAATCTCAAAATAAAGCTGTTTGTAATTGTATCTACTATCTGCTGTGGTTGCTGGTGGGCGTACTTTTTCTAGTGCAGTTTGGTAAAACTCGGTGAAAGCTTGATCTGTGCGAAGTGACACAATAAACTGCTTGAAATTGTCAATCTTGCTTATGCCATAGTTAAAATGGGTTTCCCTATTTTGAAGAATGGAATACAAAATTGTGGACTGTTCTAAAATCTTGTAAAAAACACACACTAGAAAACAAAAGAGAAAGCTACCAAGATAATGCAGTAAGCCACTTATTTTACTTAATGACTCATCATCCCACCAAGCTGGTTCAAGTACCAGCTCTAAAATATCTAAAAGTTTTTCATTGTTTTTGTGTAATACATTGATTAATCGAGAGCGATAATACCATCTTGTTTCACCAGGGGCAGGAAACTCAAGGTTATTTGATGTGAGAAAAGCTTTTCTTTTGGGACATTGCTTGTAAATGTACTGTATGTACCTGTATTAATGAAAAGAATTTTAACAGGAGAAATTGATGAGGCTGACTGGCATAGGACCAGGTTCAATCTATGAACTGCACAATGAACAAAATGAGCAAAAGGATACTCTTGTCGAACCAATGCTTGAACACCATTGATATGGCCAGACATGACAGAAGCACCATCATATGTTTGTAAAACCAGTTTTTCTTTTATATTAGAATACTCACCAAGTTTATCTTTGACAACTTGTGATATTGCTGTGGCATTTCTGTTCATACTTACATCCACAAATCCTAATTACCTCTCCATAATTTCACTTGCTTTGTCAAACCGAGCAATAACACTTAGCTGCTCTTTGGTGGAGACATCAGATGCTTCATCAACCTGAATACTCATAAATGTGCAATCATTTATTTCCTTTCTGATTTCATCTTCAATAATTGAATCAAGACAGCTGATAAGACCATTTTGAACTTTTTGGGGAGACTCCAGTTAATCTTCTGTCACCAACTATATCAGATTCTGCTAGTCTACTGTGCAGTCGACGCTCAAATACAGAATCCAACTTAGCAAAACATTCGAGCAACTCTCTATAATTACCTTTGTTCAAGCTACCTTCGGACTCATTGTGACCTCTAAATGGCAACTCTTGCTTTGACAAATACAGCACGGCCTCAGTAACAGTTTTTAAAATTTCTCGATTTTGTCTTACCTCCTCATTGTGACGCTGAATCTCATTTCTTCTAGCGAGGGACATGAGACAATCAATTCGTTCACTAGCTCCATACGTTTTCTATGTCTTAAATGCAGTCAAATGCGATTTAGATTTTTCATGCTTCTTAGCATCAGACATAATACTCCGCATATCGTTGTAGCCATTCTTAGTCCACGATGGCGATGTTTTTGGGGAAAACATTAGACATGGCCAACAAAAACACTTTCTGCAAGGTTGTACTGCCACACAGCCAGTCCTTCGCCTCATACCAATCTCTCTGAAATGCTCTTCCCTTATTTTGGATAGTTAAAGTGGTTATATCACGAATTTTAGCCCCCCTTTTTTATGTGCTTACTTGAAAATTTGGATTATTTGAAGAACTATGACATGTCGCTGGACTTAAACAGATAAATATAAGTTGCTTAATTTTGCCTCCAAAGTCGGGTACTATTTGCGAATTTTTTACGACGCCATATTGATACTTGTGACGTAGATAGTTGAACACGTCTGTTTCCGTCAATATAATATTATATTCTAGTAGGTGATTTTGTTGTCGTTTTTCTTGTCTTAAAAACAAATAATGACAGTATTTTCAATAAAATATTAAAAAACAAGTTGTCCGGAAAGTATGGCCTCAAATCAGTGCTCAGATAATTCGAATTCGATGTCTGAATGCGTATCTGATTCGAGCTCGGAATCCGTGGGTTATGTCGAGCATTTAAACGACTTCGCATATGACGATTAACCGCTAGCAGGAGATGGTGATGAAGTGCATACTCCAGATGATCCCGATGGAATTCTCCCTGCGACATTAGAACAACGAAGTGATGGCGTAATTCCACTTGGTGAATGGTAAGTTGTTGTTTTCTCCTGTTTGTAATATACATAAAGTTACTTTATAAACCAGAATGCTCCCACGTTTCAGGTGTAATTGTCAATGCTGTCATACCGATTTGTTAGAAGGCGCATTAGAGTACAGATGCTGTAAGGAAATTGGACCAGCTTTAGAAATGACATTCGATGGCAGCATTGAGAAAATATCATGCATAACACAGCATGTCAAATTTGGGCCTTTAGTTCATGAGGCTGTCCTTGAAAACGTCGGGCCACTATTGAGAGATAGGAATGAACGTGCTTATCGCCGCCAAGCATCACAATCATTAAATATGTAAGATTGTAAATTGTATGAGAAACAATTTTATAATCAACATTGTTTCATCAACAATAATTAGTCCAACCTTTTTATTTACTTCAGGTACTTGAGAGCTGTGGCATACAGATGGTTGATGCGATGGTTTGTGGGTCTATGGGATGGGAGAATACTCTTTTTCTGCTTGTGTTTACCACTTTATTCGGAAAGCATATCCAAGTGGTAACACAAAGGTTACATACCATCAGAGGGGCGATGGAATAGTCTTTAACTTGTGCACTGTAGAGACTGTTGACCTTCTTGCTGAGTTTGGAATGGTCAGGAAATATGCCTAGATGAAAACCAAATAGGAGATACATGGATGCACTATATAAGTTGACATGCAGTTTAATGGTTTGAAACAAGAGTAAACAATAAAACAAATTGGTGCAACTACTGAGAGGTTAAGCTGAAAGAATTAATGAAAGAATATCTTTTCTTCAATGTCAGTCTGGGAAAAAGACAAAAGAAAAATATATGGAATTAAATCATAGCATAAATGTAAAATGGAAAATAGCAAGCCGTTCAAATGGCGAATCGTTTGCTTCCCAGTGCATACTTAAACATGCTCAGCTTCATCACTAGTAGATGGTACTTCCTCATTGAGAGAACATGTTTCCTTCAGCGATGGCTTATGGAGTATGTCGAATAATCTACAAACTTATATTGAATTTACAAATGACAAAAGAAAATTAACATAAACAAGCGTAAACTTACTTGTCTTCGCTTTCGATCGGTTATTTCGTCCTGTAATGGTTCAGGAATCCCAGCCACGTCAATG